TAACATTTTTTTTTCAACTACGTATACAATTAATCAAGAAGTTAGAAATCTCATTGAAATTATTTAAATTTTTGGAAATTTTGCTTCCAATGATGCAAGCTACAAAGAAAATATATAAGGTTTTATCTAGGTGTAAGATAACAGTTCAATAAATAAATTGCATTTAGATTTCTTTCGTTACAAAATGACTTTGATTTACTTGCGAAGGTCAACTACATGTATCATGAAATCTAAAACTAGATTTACATAACAGTAGCATTCCAAAGTTATTCAGTTTCAAACATGCATTTTGACACACCATAATATTTGAAAATTAAAATGTGCCTGTCTCTTTGTGAAATTTTGACATAACTATTTGCTGCTGGAGGAATGAATACAAATTATCAACATATTTTTGAAAAAAGGAAAATTAATTGAATTGAAGCGCTCTCCTTCTCTCCAGAAACCAGTAATTGACACTTTGACATCTAAATATATCTACTGACTGACACTCAACATTCAGAAGAGACGTAAGCTCTATGTTACCGGTTAGATGGGAAGCAGCTATCTAATCGGCTGAGTAGGAATCAACTCTAACCCCCCCCCAAACCCACATGACCCCTATATAAAAGTTGCTGCCCCTTATGTTTTTCAATTTTACAATTCCTTTTAAAATGAAAAAAACAATAATATGTTATTACAGAACTACATATGTACACAGATTTTCACAGATTTTTATTTTGCTCCGACACACCTTTGGTATGTTACAAGAGGTCACAGTATATATATATCGCAGACATTATACACCGCAGAAAACATCCACAGTGACAACATGTGACCAGATGACTTAACTACATAGTATTTAAGAACACATTCAAAAAAAAAAATCTTACCACTTAAGTTAGTACATTATTTTGCAATATGCAATCATAGATTTCATCTCTGCAATTTTTTACATTCTTGAAATTCCTGAACAATTACCATGCCTAACACATTTATAAACAAAAGATACACACACTCCAGGGTTTTATATAATTTCCCATCATATTGTGTTAATATCATGAAAAGGCTTTCTTCCAAATTTTTAGTCAGTGAAAAATTATCTTGACAAATATCAATTTCAGGAATTTTTTAAGATTGAAATTGAATATGCTATTAGTGAAAAACAAGAAGGTTGTTATTACATTAAGTGTATGTACATCACACTAAGTGTGTCTACGTGACAACGAGGGGGTGTCTTGTCATGTAGAATACACATTTACAATGTGTAACAAAAACAGGTGTGGATCTTCACCCACATACACACCACATATGCAGCAAGGTCACACGGGAACATGTTTTGACTCTGAAGAAATATGTCTAAACCTATGTCCCATCCTTTTATTATCTTACCAAAAACATACAGCAGTTTCATGTCATCAAATCACATCAGCCTGATACTTAATACCAGTAGAATGTAATCACATCAGCCTGATACTTAATACCAGTAGAATGTAATTCATCAATTCATGCTTATTTCCAGTGTATCACTTTTGCAAGGAAATTACTAACATTGCTGGTTAAAGTCAAGCTAGCATACAGCACTTGGAAACATAAGTAGTGGACTGGCTACAATTACTAACCACAGTGACCACCGGCTACTATCAGTGACATCTTTAATACATCATCATCTCCAGATAAAACCCCAAGGTCAATCCCAGCATCAGCAAGGTCAAATAGGATATATGCAGTCTGTATGTACTGAGTGTCTGTGTTACCTGTACTAAGTGACCAGCCGTTACCGTGGTTACAAGTGATGATGAGGTCCAGAGCCTACAACTATCATTCTGATAGGAGAGTTTATCATTGGGGAAGGTTTAACTGTAAAGTTAAATAAGGTTATTAAGTCCATAGGTGTGAAATGGTGTCTGTAATTACTTTTGTCTATAAAGACCTGTCTACAAAAATCACCTGTCTGTAGAAACCGCCTGTCTAAAACTACCAGTTTAAAATAACATTAACGCGACCTGTCTGTAAGTTACTTTTTTCTATAAAGACCTGTCTACAAAAATCACCTGTCCGTAGAAACCGCCTGTCTAAAACTACCAGTTTAAAATAACATTTTTGAATGCCACCCCTTCTTCTCTACTACAGCACGATCTACAAAGATCACCTGTCTGTAATGATCACCTGTACATAAGGACCAACACCTGTCTATACTTACTGCCAGTTTATAATGACCACCTGTACATAGAGACCTACACCTGTCTATACTTACTGCCAGTTTATAATGACCACCTGTACATAGAGACCTACACCTGTCTTTACTTACTGCCAGTTTATAATGACCACCTGTACATAAAGACCTACACCTGTCTTTACTTATCTCCAGTTTGTAATGACCACCTGTACATAGAGACCTACACCTGTCTATACTTACTGCCAGTTTATAATGACCACCTGTACATAGAGACCTACACATGTATATACTGACTGCCAGTTTATAATGACCACCTGTAAATAGAGACCTACACCTGTCTTTACTTACTGCCAGTTTATAATGACCACCTGTACACAAAGACCCACAGCTGTCTTTACTTACCTCCAGGTTGTAATGACCACCTGTACATAAAGACCTACACCTGTCTTTACTTATCTCCAGTTTGTAATGACAACCTGTACATAGAGACCTACACCTGTCTATACTTACCTCCAGTTTATAATGACCACCTGTACATAGAGACCTACACCTGTCTTTACTTACTGCCAGTTTGTAATGACCACCTGTACATAAAGATCTACACCTGTCTATACTTACTGCCAGTTTATAATGACCACCTGTCCATAGAGACCTACACCTGTCTATACTGACTGCCAGTTTATAATGACCACCTGTAAATAGATACCTACACCTGTCTTTACTTACTGCCAGTTTGTAATGACCACCTGTACATAAAGATCTACACCTGTCTATACTTACTGCCAGTTTATAATGACCAGCTGTACATAAAGACCCACAGCTGGCTTTACTTACCTCCAGGTTGTAATGACCACCTGTACATAAAGACCTACCCCTGTCTATACTTACTGCCAGTTTATAATGACCACCGGTACATAAAGACCCACAGCTGTCTTTACTTACTGCCAGTTTGTAATGACCACCTGTACATAAATACCTACACCTGTCTATACTTACTGCCAGTTTATAATGACCCCCTGTCCATCGAGACCTACACATGTATATACTGACTGCCAGTTTATAATGACCACCTGTAAATAGAGGCCTACACCTGTCTTTACTTACTGCCAGTTTATAATGACCACCTGTCCATAGAGACCTACACCTGTCTATACTGACTGCCAGTTTATAATGACCACCTGTAAATAGATACCTACACCTGTCTTTACTTACTGCCAGTTTGTAATGACCACCTGTACATAAAGACCTCCCCCTGTCTATACTTACCGCCAGTTTATAATAACCACCTGTACATAAAGACCTACAACTGTCTATACTTATCTCCAGTTTATAATGACCACCTATACATAAAGACCTACACATGTCTATAATTTCCCCCCTTTTATAATGACCACCTGTACATCAAGACCTACAACTGTCTATAAAGACCACCTTTCTATCAAGACCGGGTAATAATTATACTTACTGCCAGTTTATAATGACCACCTGTACACAAAGACCCACAGCTGTCTTTACTTACCTCCAGTTTGTAATGAACACCTGTACATAAAGACCTACCCCTGTCTATACTTACTGCCAGTTTATAATGACCAGCTGTACATAAAGACCCACAGCTGTCTTTACTTACTGCCAGTTTGTAATGACCACCTGTACATAAAGATCTACACCTGTCTATACTTACTGCCAGTTTATAATGACCCCCTGTACATGAAGACCTACACCTGTCTATACTTACTGCCAGCTTATAATGACCACCTGTACATAAAGACCCACAGCTGTCTTTACTTACCTCCAGTTTGTAATGAACACCTGTACATAAAGACCTACCCCTGTCTATACTTACTGCCAGTTTATAATGACCCCCTGTACATAGAGACCTACACCTGTCTATACTTACCTCCAGTTTATAATGACCACCTGTACATAGAGACCTACACATGTATATACTGACTGCCAGTTTATAATGACCACCTGTAAATAGAGACCTACACCTGTCTTTACTTATTGCCAGTTTATAATGACCACCTGTACATAAAGACCCACAGCTGTCTTTACTTACCTCCAGTTTGTAATGACCACCTGTACATAAAGACCTACCCCTGTCTATACTTACCACCAGTTTATAATGACCACCTGTACATAAAGACCTACACCTGTCTATACTTACTGCCAGTTTATAATGACCACCTGTACATAAAGACCTACAACTGTCTATACTTATCTCCAGTTTATAATGACCACCTATACATAAAGACCTACACATGTCTATAATTTCCCCCCTTTTATAATGACCACCTGTACATCAAGACCTACAACTGTCTATAAAGACCACCTTTCTATCAAGACCGGGTAATAATCTTTGATAGGTGCAGTGCTTCAAAATTAGAATTTGTTTCTTATGGAACAGTGGAAGTTTAAGATAATTAAGACATAAATAAATTTCAAAAATCCTCCATATATGGAGATGAACATGAAGCGTTGTTTTTCATGATATGACGTTAATGTATACTTAGGTTAGACAAATAGGAAGTGGAGCTCACTATCTTCTTCCTTTAACATGTTCAGTTTCCTGTATATGAAGTAAATATAAATCTTGTTGTCTTCATGTTGATGACAGCTAGGGACGTAGCAGCCACTTGACCTCGAGGCTTTATGATGTCACTGACACAAAAAGAAAAACTCCCAGAGTGATAAAAGCCAGTGTTGTGGGAAAATGAAGTTATGCGTATAGTATACTACAGTATCTTTTAATAGCCCACAAAGTGGATTCCCAGTAAAACCTACAACCTATATGTAGTTTGACGTCAGAAATTTTATGAATGAAATCACAGGGCATGCATATATAAAGGGGGGATTACCGTTAAAAGTTCAGTCCTCGACCACCACCGCTTTGATGGTTGCAGATTTACTGGTAGTGTGAACAGGTGTTATAAACACTTAGTAAAGAATTTTTTATCATCATCTAAAAAAACATATGACTATAGCTGTGTAAATTGTAAATGTTGGAGTAAGGAACATTTGATATTGAAGTGTTGGCTCGGTGTCTGGGCACTGGTCCCACTACGATCACCCGACAACCATTATCAGGTAAGTGCTGTTACAAATTGAATGACCTTCCTGCCATTACCAGTTAAATTCTGTATTATCCTTCAGACATTCTGCCACATAAGTACTGATCCTCTCCTGATATGTTATTAAACTTGAAAAGATTAATTCTGATTAATTACAAAAAGCTATTGATTCAGTCTGAAATGTTCCATTCAGATATACATAAAAAAAACCAGAAAAACTGCAGGATTAAATTTCAATATTTTTTTGTTTGTTTGAAAAATTATATTCTCAAAAGAAGTCCCATTGTATATCTTATAAGCTGTCGTATATATTCTGTAGATCAGCCCATAAAGCTTTAATATATGAAGTTAGAAGTAGTGAGTCAATGGGGGGTGACTTTTGTGGTGGTGGTGGGGAAGGGAAGGTGTGTGGAGGGGGGAGAGGAGTATAAGTAGTAGGGAGGGGGATGGTGGTGGTGGTGGTGGGGGG